ACTTTAGTCCGAACCATCTCCGTGTCAAATCTTTTAGACCATTAACATATACCTCGCAAAACTTCGATGGCCAATCTTTAGGCTCAATCGCACTAAATCCTAGTCCTGGGGTTCGATCATTTGAACGTGGATTCAATTCTTTAGTCCAATCGACAACATAAGCTGATACCCTTCTCCTAAATTTAGCCTTAAATTCAGACCAAGCTTGGAACTTGTAATGATTCAATACCATATCACGGACATTCACTTTCTTTATCTTGTATCCTTGTTTCAGTATGAAATGATGAATAACATTGCGCAAAGAGTGATCAATAGCATCCAATAATACTATAGACTTATGTCTGTTCTCTACCTTTCTTCTACAGTTATATCCTTGGGTCACTCCCATTATAGGATGAGACTTCTTATTTGATGGTCCAAATTCATAACACGAGATGGTAATTTCCCCAATTTGTCTCTTATCAAGTGACGAATCTTGTACATTCTTGAGATTTGGTAACAGAGAAGGTAATAGAGATTTCAATGGACGCGATAATTTAGACCATAGAGGTGAATACACAAATTCATCCACATCAATGTACGTCATCCAAGAACAAGAATCCTTAGCATAAATTGCACTATGAGAAAAACCAGCTTCTTGAGTTTTAGGCCATACCCAAGAATAAGTTTTAACATCATATCCATCTCGAACAAGTTCATCGACAACATTGTTTAAATCATCATCACTAGCATTGTCGTATAATACGAATTTTTCAACACCAATTTTCGAATGATGTAATACCCATTATTTTAAGAACTTACCAACATTATACACCATGGTACATGCACAAATACGAGCTTTCTCTGACTTCTCGTTACTTTCCAATTTCCTTGGTCTAGTGTAATACGCTACAGAAGGTACAACCACTGGAACATTTAGTATAATTTCGAGAGAGACTGATATCCTCTCTCCCTCAAAAACAGTTGGATCAGGACGATTACATCGAAAAACTTCTTGTATCGAACTCGTTACGTTGGTTCTAATTACCTTATTACCCCCATACCCAAAAATACAGTTAAATTCACTACATTCTCTATTAATCCCTTGACGATTATTCAATCCTTTAACAAACAAAACGACGTCGTCGTCCGTCGTCAATGAATCATAAATGAGAAAAGTCCACTGTACATCTCCGGCGATGTCGCCGGCGCCTGCGTAATATTCCTATTTTCTGACGATTTCATCAATTTAGGTTGTTTAAACGGAAATTACCGGCGAGCTCTCTTCGGAACCTCACGCTTGAACAAAGACCGGACCGAAAATTGAAGCTCAATCGCCGATGAAATCTCCCCTGTTTCGAATACGCAAATATAAGGATCGTGAGGAGAAATTAGATGAGTATAATCGGGAGAGACAATAACAAATACTTCCCAATCTGGCATTAGAATCGATACAGATGAAATTGAATCGGGTAATAGTGAATTCACCGGAGATACAGGTGAATAGATATTTTCATGAACTGCAAAATTTTTGATATTTTTCGAAGACATAGTAATGGTGATTTTCGGTTCATCGTTAATGCCGGAGATAAAATCATAACGGTAAAGATGATACTGAGTAGCGAAGAAGAAAATTGAAGTGATAATGAAAAGTGAAGTGATCATACGAACTTTTTGAGTCATATCGAAACGTTACTCAACTTTATTTTATAATTCAGAAGTAGTTAAACTATGAGTATGCGACGGAATGATAGGTTTAAAGTATGTGTATATATAAGAAAGAGAAAGATTCCTAATTAGAATTTAAGTTGGAAATTGAAATCCTTGAGGGAAATGGAATTGGAATTATTGTTGATTAATGATTTGTTTATTATTTTCTAATCATTGTTTGAGACTAATTATGATTTTGACTGGACATTTGGTGAGAAATAATAGAGCTGGGAACCTAAATAAGCCACAAAAACATAAAAGTGATCAAAATAAGCCACTATTTTAGTAAGTAACTAAAATAGGCTTAGTGGAAGAAAAAATTTCACTTTATCTAATATTCTAAACGTTTTCCGTTAGTCTCATAACGTGTATATTTTAATATATAACCGGAATTATTTTTTACACTTTATAAAATGGAACTATTTCTTACACTTTATAAAGTGGAACTTTATCTTACACTTTATAAAGTGGAAGAAAATCTTACACTTTACAAAGTGGAAGAGAAAATTCCACTTTACAAAGAGGAATATTTTCACGTTTTTATCTCTTTTGCAGTGTTTGTCATACAATTATATTGATTTGACATATCATAAAAACGGAAAAAATTATTACACTATGTATTTTTATTTTTTTATTCTGAAAAATCCTCCAATCTCTATTTAAGGAGGACGTTCAAACATTAATTGATAGCACCTACAACATACTTTCTATATTTGTTCATTTCAATCTCAGAAAAAAAATGTCTTCTAAATCAAAAGTTAGAGTTTCGATTTATTGGGATGGCGAAATTATACATGATGGAAATACCATTTATTATAATTGTCCTCCCAAACACAATGTTAAATATTCAATTAATGTCCGATATCATAAATTTCTTTCATCAATTTATAAAAGAATGGGTATAAACAGTACTGTTTATAATTTGATTATAGTCAGAAAATACCCTACTTCATTTTTATCCCAAGGACAAGTAAATTTTGGAGAGTGGATTATCTATAATGACGAATCGTTGACCGACTTTTTGAGGGTTCCAGATGACTACATAGATCAAATCAAGTTAACAATACTTGAAATCTATGTTAGGAAGGAGCCTAAGACTAGTCAACAACGTTCTCCTTTATTGGTCGATGTCCATCCCCGATTAGAAAATCATAATAGCGTTGATGGATTTCCGATAACTCAATCTACTGATTTTCCTAACATGACTCATTATCAAAATATTCTTATCGGTCGATATGATTTTGATTTGAACGAAACTATCAATGAAAGTGATTGGTAGTGCTCAATAATTATATTTCGATTATTATTTGTTGATTTTGTCAATTATTTATTAATTTATATGATTTATTATTATTATTATATATTTTGTAGCGGTTTACCTCAGCAAGATAGGAATATTGCTCCAAGTTATGGACTAGATAATTATTTTGGTCAGTCCTCACACTTTGAAATTACGAAAAATGTTGGAACATCCTCAAATTTTCATGTCTCGCCTACTTTTGATGCAGATGATTATCGGTATGTCCAACACTTGATTTTTTATTTAAGTAAGTTAATTGCATGAGATAAATATTTATAATTTTTTACATATATAGGGAAAATATCACACAAGATGAGCCCATTGATCCTGTGAATATCGATGATCGTGACCTTCCAAATTACGGCTCACCTTCAGCTAGTGATAGTGATGATTTGCCTAATGTCGAGGAATCAGGAGATAATGTTCCATTTGAGGCATTATCTAGTGATGATGATTTTTTAATGCCCAATCGGTCGTCAAGACCAATGTCCATGAGTCCGTTTCGTAATCATGAAATTCCTTATCTTGATCATCTCCCAGATGGTCCAAATATCTTTGGCGATACACATGATGAATATTCATCACAATGTACGTGGCGTGAACCGAAAGATTTCATGAATAGTGCTATTTATATTGAAAAAAGCATGTTATTCAATTCAAAGAAGTTGTTGCAAAGAGCAGTTAAGCTTCTACATTTAAAGATAGCGAGGGAGTACTTTGTTATTAAATCGACAAAGAAATCATGGCGACTTGTTTGCAGGCATGTTGAACAAGGATGTCGATTTAGGCTAACTTCTTTTAATGAAAAACATACTAACATGTGGAAAGTTGGAAGATACATTAAAGAACATACATGTGATATGGGTACGTGCCGCGATGGACATTTCAACTTGGATGTTGAGATGATTGCTAACATCCTTCGTGTTGATATAGAAAAAATGCCAAGGTATTATTTTATCCTTAGATGATTTTTCTTTAGTAAGAAAATATTCATTTTTTATTTGATAATTAATATTATTTTTACTTTTCAGGTTTCCCATCAAAAATTGTCAAACAGCCGTTCTTAAAGCATATGGCATTTCGATAAGCAAAAGAAAAGTCTATCTTGGTCGCAAGCGTGCTTTTGAAAAAGTCTATGGTACTTGGGAGGGTTCTTTTGCCGAGTTGCCGAGGTTCATGGAAGCTTTGAAACACTTCAATCCCGGAACAATAGTTGAATGGAAAACAGAGCGGCATGTCGATGTCATTGAAGATGTATTCAATTATGTGTTCTGGACTTTTAAACCATGCATTGATGGGTTTGTGTTTTGTCGTCCTGTTATATCGATTGACGGAACACATGTCTATGGAAAATATGATATCAAGTTATTGATTGCGATTCCAACGGATGGTAACGGCTCAATATTACCTTTGTCATTTGCAATAGTTGCGAATGAGAGCATGAAGACATGGAGTTTATTTTTGGATCATTTGCACTTGCACGTTGTCAAGGGTCATAGAGATGTAGCATTGATTTTAGATAGGCATCACGGAATACTCTCATCCGTGTATAATTCTCCCAATTGGCAGGCCCCATTTGGGTTCCATCGTTTTTGTTTAAGACATTTGAAGGCCAATTTTTTTTTAAAAAATCAAAAATGTCACTTTGAACAACCTTTTATGGGTAGCTGCAAATCATTGTCAAGAGAAAAAGTTTTTGGAAAAAATGGAGATGATCAAGGAGATTAACCCGGAAACGTATGTGTGGTTAATGAAGAACGATCTTGACAAATGGACATTGCACAGGGATGGAGGTAAGAGATAGGGAATGCTGACAACAAATAGTTCTGAGTCATTCAATGGTCTTCTTAAGTCAGCCAGGGGCCTGCCAGTTACTGCAATGGTAAGTCTCACTTACAATCAGATTGTGAATCGATTTGTTACAAAATCAAAATTTGTCAATCAGCTAGTACAACAAAAGCAACAATGGATGCCTAAACCATTCAAGATTTTTGAGGATAATCGAAAAAAGTCACAGCGTCACATATTTATCAACTATCACCAACAAAGGAAAAACATATTTGAGGTACAAGTAGGCCAACACTGCACTGCCCCAACTGTACTTACCTACGTCGTGGATGGGATCTAGGAATGCCCAGTATTGTAAGCTAATAAGGTTCCCCGACGTGTTCGAAAATAATATGCCCCCCAATATAACAAGCATGTAAAGTCTAGAAATTTTCTCAACCCGCTCCATTGGATTAGCGTCTCCTATCGGATCTACTTGTAACTGATCTCGCAAGTAGCCGGTAATGCTATGTATCCTCACCCGGCTGGCACCATCCATATCAGCAGGTGCTATGACGCATCCTGTGAGTGTCTCTAATAAAGTGCGCCATGGATGAATCCTCTGTGCAGCATCCTGCATGTACACAAGATCACCATCGATGCGCAAACCAAACAAAACCTGCACATCCTGTAATGTAATCGTGACCTCACCAAAAGGTAAGTGGAAGCAATAAGTCTCTGTCCTCCAACACTCAACCATAGGTGTAACAAGGACACGGTCATACTGCATCCTGCCCACACAAACTACATCATACAGTCCTGACCTACGTAAGATCTCCTCAACACGTTCATGAGGTCGATGCAAACGAAATAAACTTCAAGCATCATTCATGTGCACCGTCCTCATAAGGCTACTAAATGATATCTCACCTTTCCATAACAATTCTGATTTATGCTCATGCTGAGAGAGAAGAAGTGTACGATCAATCGGTCCAGGATTCACAACACGCTCCATTATATTCTGTAAGAAAAATTCTATTAATTCGTTTAATATAATTATCTATTGACAAATTAAAAAGTGAACTGTCTTCAAACGAATAATTGTACGAGAACTAAAGAATCTCTAACTTCAGCAAGTCAATTCAATGTGTTATTTGTCGAGTCAACCACAAGAAAATAAAATAGAAAAAAAAAAACCAAAAGGAACATATACCGGAAGAGAAACTGATGGAACCATCTATTACATATTTAGCGGATTTTTTAACACACCTACAGAGTCTGAGCCAAATCAATTGTGTCAAAATGGACCATACATCCTGAACTACATCCACAGCTGTTATCCTCAATCATTAAACTAATGAAATAGATCTTAGTAACATTTCCAATGTAGCATGACATATCCATTGAACAATCCTAATTTACATACGTCATAACTCATCTGAGAGGTGTATTTATGCACATTGACAATTTTACACAGCACATAGTCTCTACAGTCTACATATATTTAAGCTTTAACTCTTTCTGTGAACACCTATGCACTTATATGAGTTATACAAGTATATATGCTACAATCGAAAAAGCGTTTTATCATGGCAAAGATCATAAGCATGACCAGCCCAAAGACCTCCAGGAGTATCAGATGGCTAAGTAACCACATACGCAGACATGGACTCAAAAAAGTGACAACAAACTGAAAAGGTCATCAACATAAAAGGCTTCTAGCATTTGAGTATCATTATGTTTGTTCCATATTAAGGAAAATAGTGCAGAAGGAATTAGTACGTTTCAACGATTGACTTTTATCTTTCCCTTGCAAACAAGATCAAATGGGCACTTACTAGTTATAAGTAAAATTAAACAATTTGTGTTTAAGGAAACCAGCAAATGAAATCTTCTCCACCAAACCTTATTTTGCAATACCAATTCAACAGTGTAATTCCTTTTGTTTATTTCGAATTAAAGACTTTTTTTCTAACACAATATTTAGTAATTGAATGCACATTGTATAAGACTAGCTGAAATTTTGAACAAATTACAACATCATTTTAAAATAATGAAAATATGAGATGAAAAAAATACCTAATTTATATAATTTGTAGGGTCGGATTGTTATGTTGTCGGGTTGTGCTATTCCAATCTTTCAAGATTTTTATTTTTTAGTGGAGGACCGCTTCAATTTTCGAATTGGGATCATCAACATTTAATCTTCAAAGTGAAAAGTTTGGAAGCCATGAAAGTGAAAGGGGAGAAGAAGAAAGTGAAAAGGTAAAGTAATTTTTTATGAAGTGTAATATTTTCTTCCACTTTAGTAAGAAATAGTTCAATTTTATAAAGTGTAGAAAATAATTCCGTTATATATTAAAATATACACGTTATGAGACTAACGGAAAACGTTTAAAATATTAGATAAAGTGAAATTTTTTCTTCCACTAAACCTATTTTAGTTACTTTCTAAAGCAGTGGCTTATTTTAGTTACTTTTATATTTTTGTGACTTATTTAGGTTCCCAGCTCGAAATAATACTAGTATGTAATATGTTTATCAATTTCAATTTTAAAATGAGTAGTTAATTGTGTCATTCAACTAAATGATAGACATGAAGAATTTATTTTAATTTGTTATTAAAATAAACAAATAATCAGAGACAGAGTTATGATTTTAATTTTATGAGTTCTGAATTTTAAAATAATGACTTCAAGTAGTACTAAATGAGTTCTAACTTTAATATTTGTTCATATTAAGTAAATTTCTTAAAATAAATCTATGATTTAAATAAAAGCCATCAAATTCAAAACTAATATTTGGTTATAAATTTCCAAATTGAACTTGAAGGTGGATTTAAAATTTGGAGAAGTACTCAGAACTTATTTTCCAACCATCTTCATAAATAGAAAATAAAAAACTGAAGGTGGATTTAAAATTTGGAAAAGTACTCAAAACTTATTTTCCAGCCATCTTTATAAATAGAAAATAAAAAACTATCTTCTATTTTTTATAAAAGGATATAATTAAACGTAACTTTATCTTCATAAATTTTAAATAAATAAAATATATCTAAAATATATGAACAAACGCATACCAAGAATAATTCTTCAAAAAAGAATTATTAATCCTAGTTTTGTTTGTATTTATAGCAGCCTTTTACGAAGGATTTGGTCAAGTATGCTGTCTGCTAGAGGCGGACTTTATGGTGGCGTTGGAAAAAAAAATATAATTTTCAAAATTAAAAAATATATATTTTGGAAAATTATTAAAAAAATAATATTTGAAAATTAACCTCATGTTTAAACCTAAATACAATTAGTAAATATTTTTTTTTTTTAGAGTGGAGTGAAAATACAATTCAAGCACACATTGAAGCTTCGACTAAATTTGAATTCCTCACTGTAGGACCATTTGAAGGTGACGCTCTCAACATAATTTTTTTCATATTCAGGGCTCGAATCTGATACATCTGATTAAGGGTAAAGCAGTGTCATAATTGTACAAAAATATTAGTGAAACAAAAAATATAAAGATAAAAGTCAAAATAGATATCCTACTAAGAGAAGGAAAATCATTTTTTTTTTATTTTTGAGAAAAATAACTTTCGTTGTTATATTTATTATTTTTATAGTTAAATGCCAAAATATCATGGAATAAAAACATTTTTCTTAAAAGTCATTTTCCTTCTTAGAACACAAACTTTTCTACGTCTCTTTTCTTGGAAAGTTGGTTGGTGGAAACTTCTTAATTTGTGGTTATTAAATTTGTTATTTTAGAAAATTAAGATATGAATTCATTTTAATAATTTTAATCTATCGTGTTTTCATATTTTATCATTCATCAATTTTTGATATTCAGGTCAATTTATGCACACTTTGATCACATTTTTAAATGTGCGCTAAATACAATATTATGTTATTAATATTATATTTTATGCATAGAAGGAAAACTAAAATCAAACATTGTATAGCTTATCACATGACTTTTAAGGAAAAAAAAAAATTATGCGGTTAAACAAATTTATATTATTTAATTAGTCATCATAGTTATAGTTTATAATAATTATTACGAGCGACTTACATTAACCATTAATTACGTGGGCTGACTTCGAGTTTGTATAATTAGTTACGTTTATATAATTTACCATATTTGTATAATTCGCAACTAACAATTCTTCATTTGATTTGTATTTGTATACGATGGTTTGTATTTGTATATGAAGATAATTTCCTTTGGTTTTTCAGTTTTATTACAAATATACCTTCAATCTTTTTTTGTATAACTTTTTAAAGTTTATATAAACGTGTAATTTTCGAATTTTGTATAATATAACTTATATAATGTAATTTTTATAATATAATTTGTACAACTGTTTAAAGTTCATATGTTTGTGTTTGTATCAATTCGTTATTTGAGTTTTATCATATTTGTATAATTCCAAACTTTGTATTACTCAATTATACAAATACACGTGAATTATACAAATGTACTGCTAATTATACAAATTATTGTCTTCTCTCGTTCGCCTCTCTCCTCCCTCTCCCAATCTCGCTCATCAGATATACAAATACATATGTATATCAATTACATATATACAATTATTTTGACAGATATACATATACAATTCGTCTCTCTCCACTTTCTGCCTCTCTCCTCCATCTCCCAATATCGCTCGTCAAATATACAAATACATATGTATATCAGTTACATATATACAATTATTTTGACAAATAATACATATACAATTCGCATCTTTGTCCTCTTTCCTCCCTCTCTCAATCTCGCTCGTCACTTTTCTCTCTAGAACATGTAACTACGAATTATATTAAGTAAGCTATAACTATAAAACATAATTAATTTATTTTTGAGTGGATATATGCGAAAGTTATCCTTTACAAAAGTCATTGCTTTCTGGATCTCTTTCAATGAATCTAAAGGACAGGTTCTTTTTTCGATAAAGCTGTCTTTCAAGTAAATCCAAAAAAAAATATTAAAGTTAAGCTTTTAACTACATTCATAAATTTTAGAAGAAATTAAAAAGATTTAATATTGTCCACTATTATACTTTAGATTAAAGGCATCTTTGACCAAGTCAATCCAAATATCACTTTTTGAATAAGTATTACTGTCATTTCTTAGTAAGTACTAATTTAGGAGTGTGTTTAATATTCAAATTTGTCCTAATGTGAACTGGGGACCAAATATAAGTTAGGATTTTATTGAGCTTTTGAAAAGTTAAAAGTGCTTATTTTAAAAAAAATGAAGACCTTAGTATATATATATTCAAAAATATATCAGAACAAAACATGATAAATAAAAAGTGTTATAGTTAAAATTTAAACTCAAACTCATAAATCTTGTGTATTTACACAACTACTTCATTGCAAGGGCGAAATCAGCCTTAAAGTTACAAATTCGACTCAAATCATGAATTTATATTTAAAAAATTATTTTAATATGTATAAATAATCAATCCATAATTTAACTAAACAGTAAAATGGTAATACACAAGTGATAAACTAATTAATTGTCATCTAGGTTGATGTGTTCGATACAGAGGAAATTAAATATTTTTAATTTTTTCATGTTCAACTGGATAAAAAAAATTGAAAAATTATTTTTCACCCCTACCCCACAACCTCCATCCCCACCCATGCCTCTTGTAATATTAATCTAAATTATATACAAATATTATTTTAAAAAAATACTTTTTATTACTTAAAAGAACATTTTAAAAAAAAACTCAATTATTTGCATGGAATTCCAATAAAACTTGTACAGAACACTTGCACCTAATCTGCTTGACTTTTGACTTCATTTTCGTGGCGAAATTACTATTACAATTTCCCATAATCTTCGTAACGAGTTCATTATCCATCGAATTTCGAATAATGTATTATTACTAGTCTTTGGAAAATTATTGCTACTATTCTTTTGAATTGTGTGTCACTGGCCCTCGAAATTTCTCGATTATAAAAAAAAAAGATTGGTAGTCTTTGTGGTCCACTTCTCTTTAGACAATTCTCAAAGAGTGTTTTCTTGCAGAGCTCTTTTTCAGGTATTTTTTTTTCTCAAAAAATTATAATGTTGATTTGTTCATAATTTTTTTTCTTATTTTGCTACTATATTGTTAGAGGTAAATTTAGAATTTAAGTTTTATGAGTTTAATTTTTAAAGAATTTTTAGTATTCAACTCATTGGAATTTTAAAAGTTATGGGTTCGGATCTACTATTTGTTACAATTTTTTTTGAATTTTTACACGTAAATTTATAGTACTGTGCTCATATAAAACTTTGGCTCTTTGACGAAAATGATACCGTTTATATATGGTTAAAATTATTGTAGATTGCTGATTTACATTGTTTATGGGTACTGATTCCATAATTATAGCCAAATTTTTGCTGATATGGTGAAGGGCTTAGGGTATTGACTTGTTGTCCATTCTAGTAGTTGTAGTATTACTCTTGTTTCTTCTTCTTTGATTTCTGTTTATAATATGTTGTTTCGTGTAGTTTGATTATAGTATTATTTTGTTGTAGTATTGTTCTGCTACTATATGTTGCTTTATTACTGTCTGTTGTTTTCTTTATTTCCATTACTTTTTTTTTCTAGACTAATTTTGTCTTGAGCCGAGGGTCTATCGGAAATAACTATTTTACCTAGAGGTCAGATCAGCGTATACTCTACCCTTTTCAGATCCCACTTTCTGAGACTATATTGGGTATGTTGTTGTTGTTGTTGTTGTTGTTGTTGTATGGTGAAGGGATTAGTATTGAATTCTGAGTTTCATGATGCAAATGTGACTTAATCTGTAGATGGGTTTGGTTAATGTTTTAGATTTGCTTAGATCTATGTCTTGGATAATTGGCATTTAGAGCAGCACGATGCGTAAAACATCCCATGTTTACAAAGGGTCCCCGGAAGGGCCACGTACCAAGGGGTGTGATGTAGACCTATATGTTGCTTGGACTCTTCAAAATATCGACGGATTCGTGTTGGATCCTCTAAAAGTAGTGCATTTTTGAAGGATCTGACATGGGTGCAACAATATTTTTGGAGTGTCCAAGGAACATATGTAGATGTAGACAACCTACCCTAATGCAAGCATTAGTGGCTGCTTCCATGGCTCGTACCTCCGACTTATAGGCCACACGGAGACAACTTTATTGGGATTTAAAGTTATGGATTTAGTTGCTGCTATGAGTTCAAATATGCAACTGGAAATGAACTAGTAGTAGCCAAAAGAGATTTGAACTAGATTATCGTTATCCCGTGTATAACTCCCAGCCTTGGTAAAGGGAAATTTGCTCATATTGTGTCGAATATTTACACTTATTTTTGGTGAATTCCATCCTCTTGATCCGACTAAACCCATTTAACCTTCAATTAATACAATGCACTATTAAATTGTTTGATATTTGTAGGTACTAGGTAGTATTTTTTAACATTTCATCCTTAATTTGTTTATATCTGAGTGTGAGTTCAACACGACAATCGTGGTTACAATAACACGAGAAGAAGAAGAACAGAAAAAATGTCTATTTTAGCTCACTGCTTTAATTAAACTAGTCTTAAGTGAATTTCAGGTCCCTTGTCTTATAACAATTTTGACTGTTTTTCTTGAGCCGAGGGTTAGGTCTGTGTACACTCTACCTTCGCCAGTTGTTGTGGTTTTTTAAAAAATTTCACCGGATCAACTTGTAGGTTTGGATCTTCTAATATTCGCTGTTGCTCTTGCCAATTGCATCCTTGTGGACAAATGGAGCTGGCGGCAGTAGCTTCTGTGGTGATAGAGAAACTCAAGGATATGCTGTCTGAAGAGATAACGGACAAAACGGTGATAGAGGAAGCCTTAAAAAAAATGCAAGGTGTCATTGCTGAAACAAACGAGGAGCAAAGAAATAGTAAAGAATTCCAGGAGTGGGCTGAAAAGTGTCTGCATAGTCTGTACCATGTTGAGGACACTGTTGAGTCTTTTGCCCTTGGCATCGCCCGTCAGAACAAGAAACGGAGCTTCCTTATGAATCACTCTGTGGCTCTCAAGAACTTCATGGCTTGCCAAAAGCTGAGAAGGAAGATGAAGAGAATCCCTTCAGACATTAAACGGGTGATCAATAAAAATCACAAAGGTACTGGTGAACAGAACGCGTGTAGCAATGGGACAACTACCTATATGGGTGATCAGAATGGTGGGGAAGCTGAAGATGGAGATGTTGAAGATCACAACGATGAGGATTCTGCAAAAGTCAGACCAACAAGTCCAGTGGCACGATGTAGTTATCTTGCGATCCCAGAGAGTGATGAAGAGGAACTAGTACGGGAGGTAGATGCAAAACCTCAGAGGTGCACCAGCGACATGTCTTTGACGTTCGACCATGAAAAACAAGCAAAGCTCATGTCTACAAAAAAACCTCTGAGGTGCAGCAGTGAAAGGTCTTTGTTGTTAGACCGTGAATCACAAGCCAGACTCATGTATACAAATTCTTATGATGACGAAGAACTGGAGATGTTTGGCATACCTCAGAGGTGTATCAGCGACATGTCTTTGACGTTAGACCATGAAAAACAAGCAAAACTCATGTCTACAAATATACCTCTGAGGTGCATCAGCGACAAGTCTTTGTGGTTAGACCGTGAAACACAAGCCAGACTCATGTACACAAATTCTTATGATGACGAAGAACTGGAGATGTTTGGCATTAGACAAGAAGTGTATGACTTAGTGAAAAGACTAACCATGACAGCTGATGATGGAAGGGCCCCGATCTTTCAAATTGCTGGTGAGATGGGTTCAGGCAAGACTACTTTGGCTCGTGCTGTATACAGAAGTAGGAAAATAAAAAATCATTTTGAGTCTCGATGTGCATGGGTCACCATTTCAAAAGAGTTTAATAAATCAGATGTATTGCAGAACTTGCTAAAACAGGTGGGGGATTCCAAGGACTCTGTGGATCTAACTACCAATGAGCTGGAAACTAGACTTTTGGAGTGCTTAAATGGAAAAAACTACTTGATTGTGTTGGATGACGTACAGAGTGAGCAGATGTGGGAAGGGCTGAGATCTGTTTTCTTAGACAGTCGAAATGGAACTACACTACTTCTCATCACCACCAGTGTTAGTCCGATGTGGTATGTATCTCCTCCGAATTGTATCCATAAGGTGAAAAAGCTGAGTGATAAATATAGCTGGAACTTGTTCATGAAGAAAGCTGGTTGGGATACTTGGGAGGAAGGAAAGGAACATCAAGATTTGAAGCAGCGAGTTCTTAAGGTCTGCTGTGGTCTCCCCTTGAATACTGTCCTTCTTGGCAGCATGTTGTCGACCGAGGGAGATACCAATCGCTTTGATTATCTTCAAAAGATACTGCGCAGAAACTGGAAAACGAAGGACATTGTATCCGTTAGCTATACGAATCTGCCTGACCATTTGAAACTGTGTGTACTCTACCTGGTGCTATTCCCTAAAGAGTACGACATTCCGGTAAGGAGGCTGTTTCGTTTGTGGCTTTCAGAGGGTTTTGTAAACCACAAACCAGGTAAATTCCCGGAGGATGTGGTACAAGAAAACTTTGATTATCTAGTCAAGCGGAGCTTGATTCAGATATCCAAATTTAGGTCTGATGGCAGTCCCAGAAGATGTCGGTTACTAGGCGTTCTCCATGATTATCTGTTGCCTAAGGCCCAGAACATCAGGCTTTTCCATGTTCACTGCAGTACATGTAGCACAGAAGATTCATTTCCCTTGAATGTTAGAAGGCTTGTTGAGCATGCAAGCAGTAAGAATATTTATAGTGATGCTTCCCGGTTTAAACATCTTCGCTCTTACTTATCATTCAATTTCCAGAGGAAAGACACCCCAGCCAAGGAAGTAGGCATCCTTCTAAGCCGTGTAATTACTAAGGGTTTCGGATTGCTGAGGGTGCTTGATCTGGAAGGAGTGTATAAGCCAAGTTTACCTGAGAATCTTGGTGATTTATTTCACTTGAGATACTTAGGATTAAGATGGACTTTCTTGGATGCTCTTCCCTCGTCCGTTGGTGACTTGCCATATCTTGAGACATTAGATGTGAAGCACACTAACATAAATAACTTACCCACCTCCATCTGGAAATCAAAGAAATTGCGGCATCTCAATCTCAGTCACATCCGTCTTGACATGCCAAAGCATTCAGATACCGATTCTTTGCCTACACTCCTTACACTGTGGGGATTGTCCGTAGATGATGATAGCCCAGTGAAGAATGGACTGGATCGGTTGTGTAATCTTAGAGAGGCAGGCATTACTTTCTGTTTGAACAATTGTGAACACCTTCTCAATTGGATTTCAAATTTAACTTCTCTTCAATCTTTGAGGTTACGATCCATAAATGATATAGGATTTGGTAACGAGCCGTTGTATCTGTCAAGTCTGAACAATCTTTCCCACCTAAACTTGTTAGGTGTATTACCAAATCTGCCTGAAAAGTTACCTCAAGGGCTTAAAGTAGTCACATTATCTCTTTCAAAGCTGACAGAGGATCCTATGCCGATTCTTGGGATGCTTGAACATCTTAATGTCCTCAGGCTTCTAGCTGATTCCTATATGGGGAAGGAAATGGTGTGCCCTCACGGAGGATTCAAAGAGCTTCGGGTTCTAAAGCTTTGGAAACTTAAGAGCTTGGAAAAGTGGAATGTGGAGGAAGCGGCAATGGCGAAGCTCAAAGAGATAAATATCCGATGCTGTAATAAACTGATGAGCATTCCCGAAAGACTGAGGAAAAAACAAAGTCTCAGGGAATTGATCATAACCAACATGCCAAAAGAGTTCAAACAGAATGTCAATAAGTTCATGAGGCGTCGAGATTTGATTCTCACTTTCAAAGATTATGATTTTACCCCCTGACCGGTAAGTTTCTCCCTTAAACTCTCTATGTTATTGTCGAGACAAATAACTAGTTTACGAGCACCATTCCTTCCATAATATACAAGGTTTGAATATTTATGCTTCTTGCTCGAGATTTTGTTGATCAATGGACTTACTAAAACACATTTTTCTTCGTGGCAGTAGGAGCATGCTGATCATACTTCTGATGAAAGTCACACCAACGAGTAGCTTGCTAAGATTCTGAACAGTGTATCTCCAAGGCTTCTTCAATCAGAGCTGTGTTACCATTCATCATCGGTTATCAGATTCAAACTTTTGATGCTAACCAGTAGTTAGCTACTGGGTAAGCAATGCTTCAATAATTTGCACTTCAGTTTCACCTGATGCATTAGTTATGTATTTTAAGTCCACTCAGTGAGGCCCTTATTATCCTCTGTAACAATTTTAAATTTTGCAATGATTACGTGTGATTCGCCGGTAATTTCTAATATATACAGAACTTTCTCGTGCTTGATATCCATGAACAACAACATACCCAGTGAAATCCCACAAAGTGGGGTCTGGAGAGGGTAGAGTGTACACAAACCTTACCACTGCCTCGTGGAGGTAGAGGGATTGTTTCCAAAAGATCCTTGGCTCATATCCATGAAACATTGTATTCGTTTGCTTAAATGTCTTTCTTTAGAGAGAAAAAGCAATTTGCTTCTCCTACTAATATTGATTAGTTCACTCGTTGTGCAATGCCTCTAGGAAAGACATTATACAACAACATATCCAGTGTAGTCCCACAAAGTGGGGTTTGGAGAAGGTAGAACGTACGCATCCCTTACCCCTATTTTAGAGGTAGAGAGGCTGTTTCAATAGACCCTTGGCTCAAGAAATTTTCACCTATTATACATGGAAAAATAATAATTTCACTGGTTAATACTTGAAAAAAATATGTAAATGATATGTGTTACTGAACCAATTCAACATAACATTTTATTGCTTCACTTAGGTTAGTAATATAAGGGGCGGTTTGGTTACTGTATAAGTTGCATTTTATTCATGTATAAATAGTTGCATTAGTTTTTACTATGTTTGGTAGAAGTTTTGTATTAGGTGGAAAAGTCAATATAACTTATATCATGTTTGGTTGGTAGGATTTCAAATATTATATAAAAGTTATTCATGTATTAATTTTATGCAGTGTTTGGTTGTGTTTTTTGTAGTCCTACATAATTAATACCAACATAACTTATGAGGGAATCTATGTATAAGTTATGCAGGGTATAAGGTGAAATAAGTTATGCAGGTATTAGCTATACATGTATTAAAATAGTTAATTACACATTTACCCCTATTGATTTATTTTTACTCTTTTTTATTGAAAACTTTACCTAACTATACTTTTTTTTTAATTCACGATCAACCATTTTTTTTCCTGTTTTCATTTGAAATCCAAATGTAATATTTTATTAATATTACAAATTGAATTGTATATATTTTGCTGACACATATGTTAATCATATATTAAGGTTATATATTATTAAATATATTCCACTTATGCATCCAAGTGCTCCGGTGTTGTCTTTTCGAACTGCACCATAAAATTGTGAAGAGTTCTAGATGCGATAAGTGTTCCCTTACGCGTAACTGGTTCCAAAGGTATAGTATCATCTTCAACTTCATCATTAACATTGCTTTTTCCGATGGTGTCCACAATTTCTTCTAAGCTCTGGACCTCTAAACATGCATCACTTTCACCCGCATAATCCAACAGGTTATTGACATCCATTTTATTGTGGTAACCAAGATCATTAATTATGACCTCAAGTTCAAGAATGACGTTTCCACAAGTAGGTTCATTCAAATTCTCTGAGATTGCATCCCGCGAATGAATTTTACAATGTCGAAAACAATTTGTTATTGCCTCTTCCTGAACATTTATTGTCCAAACAGGGATTGCAAAATTTATAGCATCCAAAACATTGATCTTTGTTGGATTTGTTTGTCCCACTTCATAGCCTTCTAATATCCTACGATAAAATTTGTTCGATAATACATTTTGAAAGCTCTTATTATCACAACATCACAAGGTTGAAATTACTAAGATACAATGATTTTGATGTATTCGTTGTACTTTATGTAAAATATTTTTTTTATGTGAAATCAATAACTATGATACATAAATTAGTAAGATACAATGATTTTGATATAATTAAAATTATCCTTCATCAAATCTCAAACCATTCTTTAAATTAATAAATTTTAATTTATCGATTAAATAATATCTCTATAAAATAATAAATCTTCATGGTCCTACCTATATTAATTTATAGAGGTTTTACTGTATATATATAAAAAAAATTACAATAAATTCAATATTTAATAGTTAATAATTTATGTATTGTGATCTCTACATAACTAAATAATACCTGCATAACTAATACGCATAACTAAAACCTACATAACTAAACCCTGCATAACTAATACTTGCATAACTAAACTCTACATAATTAATACCTGCATAACTAAACCCTGCATAATTAATACATGCATAACTAAATTTTGCATAACTAATACCTACATAACTAAACCCTGCATAACTAATACATATATAACTCTAATCAGTAATCAAACGGCCCCTAAATGTATTAGTTAGTATCTTAAATATTACAAGAAGATACTTCAAAATGCAAGGTAAATATTCATGGTCAAAAATTATTATTTTTTAAATGCAATGAGCTATTAATCAATATCATGTAAAAAGGAATGTCAAACCATAAATAATTTGAACTTTATAGGTTATGGATTCTAGGATAACAAACTCAACTGCTCGTTTAGGTTTCTAAATTCAGCTTTTGTACATATTTAATAAATTTCTTCGCGCATATACATGATTTTCACCCAAGCTAATGGGTTCTACCGAACCCATATCCTGAAGACTACCTCCTTCCCCTGTGTGAGTCCGAGTCAACTTTATATAATAGTCAAGTCTTGTTATGTTCCTAGCTTGTGGTCCCCCCACCCACACACTCACACTAAGTTGACTCAATAAGTCTTCTAATGGTACTTCCAAGTTGTTTCCTTTTTCTTTCTTTTCCAAATACCTGTGATTTTAAGTAGTAGTAACATTTTCATCCATTGCTGTAACTAGCTGCCGGGAAGCAATTTATCGATAAGCCATGCTTTTACTAGGTACTGTTTATTTCTGCTTATTGCTCTTGCTTCATCTAATTTTGTTTCAAAGTCAGTGTTGGAAATGTGAACTTAAAGTTTTAAGTGTCTGCTACTCAATCTAGGTGTGTTGTTAGAGTCATTCGAGAATGTTTAGTAATTATGGTTCGTGAAATTGAACGTTTAATGGTTAATATTGTAGCTTTATATATATGGGAGGATAGTGTGTTGTTTTGTAAGAGTGGAGTTTTTCTAATGATATAGGTTTGCTTTACATTTATTTCCCTTTTCCATACTCATTGTGCCTTATATTATGAAGATCCCACCTTATATTTGTTAGAGCGGATTAGAGTCTCATATTGATTGGGGAATAAACTGATTTTTTGTTTATATGGACTTGGGCAATTCTCCCCTCATGAGCTAGTTTTTTTGGTTGAGTTAGGCTCGGATGTCATATCTTTACATGATATATCAGAGCCAGATCTATTTCCTTCCGATTGGGCTCATGCTCCATGGTCTAGTTGGGTCTGGGCGTGAAGGGGTTGGGGGGGGGGGGTGTTAAAGTGGGTTAGAGTCCCATGTAGATTGGGAAATGGGCTGATGGTTTGTTTATATGGATTTGGGAAATGTTCCCCTCATGAGCTAGCTTTTGGGGTTGAGTTAGGCTCGGGTGTCATATTCTTACAATATTCCGACTTAGTTTTCTAATTTTTATCTTTGTTTTGGCAGCTGCAAGTGTAATATTTGTTAATCATGTAGATTGGGAAATGGGCTGATGGTTTGTTTATATGAATTTGGGAAATGTTCCCCTCATGAGCTAGCTTTTGGGGTTGAGTTAGGCTCGGGTGTCATATTCTTACAATATTCCGACTTAGTTTTCTAATTTTTATCTTTGTTTTGGCAGCTGCAAGTGTAATATTTGTTAATGCTGAGAGGAGAAGGCTAATTGAAGTTATTCCAGACAGCTTGAAGAAAGCATGGAAAGATTGGGAAGTAGAAGTGCTGATTCTAGGAAGCCTCATCTTTCAGATTGTGCTTATTCTTTTTGGCAAACGCAGGCAGTGTGTGGCGAAATTATGGATCAGAATGACTCTATGGACATCTTACTTACTAGCAGATTGGATTGCTATTGTTGCATTAGGTATCATCTCTCAGAATACGTTGGATAAATGCAAACAAACAAGTGTTGATGACAACTTAAAGGATGAATTGATGTCGTTCTGGGCGCCATTTATGCTGCTGCATCTTGGCGGTCCTGATACTATCACGGCTTATTCATTGGAGGATAACGAGCTGTGGTTAAGGCATTTAGTCGGTCTGATAATCCAGAGTGGACTAACATTCTATATCTTGCTTGTGTCCTTGCCAGGCTCTTCTTGGCTTCCATTTCTAAGCTTATTCATCTTCATATCTGGTCTTATCAAGTTCTCTGAGCGGACATGTGCTCTCCGATCAGCAAAAATCGAGAATCTCAGGGACTCAATGCTGACATCCCCTGATCCTGGACCAAATTATGCTAAATTCATGGAGGAATATACTTTGAAGAAAGCTGAGGGCTTCTACGTGATGGCGGATGAGGTTAAAGAAATCTCACTTCCAATTGATCATTCTTACCATACTGGTAGAGATAAATTGCTGCTGATATCTGAAGCTTTTGATCAGTTCCAGACTTTTAAACGTCTATTTGTGGATCTCATCCTTAGCTTCCAGGACAGAGACAACAGTCGATTTTACTTCAAGGAACTTCCTCCAAAAGAAGCTTTTGATGTGATTGAGGCAGAGTTAGGATTTGCATATGATACCTTCTATACCAAAGCACCCGTTATTTTTACTCCTCTAGGCTGCATTCTTCGTGTGGTTACTTTTTCTTGCATTTTTTTTAGCTTGATTTCATTTTCTTTATGTAAGGAAAGATTGAAATACCACAAACTTGACTTGATTCTCACTTACCTTCTGCTGGTGGTGGCCTTACTCCTGGAAATATATGCATTGATCGTTTTGCTGAACTCAGACTGGACAAAGAATTTGCTGAGCAAAGGGAAACAGGACGGAAAGTTTTACCAGTCGTTCCTCCTCAACAAGCTGTGTCTGCGAAGATCAAATAAAATGAGGTGGTCCAATTGCACACCCCAATACAATTTGTTGAGCTACTGTGTTGACTTCAAGCCCCCCCGGTGCTACAGGTTCCAAAAACTCTTTCAAATCAATGAGCTCTTGGAAAAACACATGTACAAGAAGTATGAACTAGTCTCCCCGGAGTTAAAAGAGCTGATCTTTAACCATTTCCAAAAGTTTGCTGGAGAAAGTAATAACGAGCCTGATCATCCAGTCTTATGCACAAGTAGAGGCACTACAGCACTTACCAAAAATGACTGTTCTTCCCTAGTTTGGTCTACCGAGGTAGAATTTGATCAAAGCTTCCTTATTTGGCACATTGCTACTGATCTATGCTATTACACTGACGATGGAAGTACTCCTTGTTCCATCAAATCCAAGCAAATTAGCAAGCAGTTATCAGATTATATGTTGTATCTTTTAGTAGTATGCCCCTTTATGCTGCCAATAGGACTTGGGATGATCAGATTTAGAGACACATGTGCTGAAGCCAAAGAGTTTTTTACAGAGAGGAAACTAGGAAAAGACTTAACTATAGCTAGTCGCAAGTTGCTAACAGTGAATACTGAAGTTAGACCTGCAAAAGTGAAAGGGGATAGGAGCAAGAGCGTGTTGTTTGATGCGTGCATACTTGCCAAATCATTGAAAGAAAAGGGAAATCAGAGAAAATGGGAAATCATCAGTGAAGTATGGGTGGAAATGCTTGCTTATGCTGCTACACATTGCAGAGGGAACCATCACGCTCAACAACTTCGTAAAGGAGGAGAGCTTCTTACTCATGTCTGGCTTCTCATGGCACATCTTGGCATCACAGAGCAATTCCAGATAAACAGAGGTCATGCTAGGGCCAAGCTCATTGTCAAGTAATAAACTCGGATTCTCGTGCTGATCAAGACTTAGTTAGGTAAATAAATGTGTGTTCTCTCTAATCGTTTAAGTTTTTTAGCGTGATATTATAGTACAGACAGGCTCAGAAAACAAAGTTAACTTTTAGCATGTACCTGTACTTGTTGTAACTAGTTTCTGGTAACTTACATTGCATGCTTGTTCTTTATTATTATGATAATAAATTTTTTATCTATAATAGTTTTGAGTTATAAAATGGAAATATTGATGGAGTCAGGAGTGATTTTTTATTTTTTTTTGAGAATTGGTAACATGTTAGGAGTGAAAATTGTTAATCACTAACTAATAATCTCGTTTACAGCTTATATGTTATATTCAAATTCAATTTCTATTATATGTATTTCTCTTTAAGATTGTTATTCCTTTTTCATATTTAGAAGGGATAAGGGTCTGAAAAATACCCCAACTTTGGTCGAATTTATTGTTGCGATACTAAACTTTCATGAGGACCTATTACCTCCCTAGACTATTTAATACCGTATTTTAAACATATATATATTTGTCCACGTGGACATAAAAAATAATGCAAAATTATAAATAGTAATGTATCCACGTGGGCACATATATACCTTTAAAATACACTATTAAATAGTTCAGGGGGTAAAAAATACACTATTAAATAGTCTAGAGAGGTAATAAGTCCTCATGAAAGTTTAGTATCGCAACAACAAATTCGACCAAAGTTGGGGTATTTTTCAGACCCTTATCCCTTCTAATTCGAACATGTGCTTTCTACGAACATGTGTGACTTAGGGTGAGGCTAGTAAAACGTTTGGTTTAGGCCCCTAAAATTCTGAGCCACCAAAAAAATTTAATAATGAAATAAAAGAAAGGTAAATATTTTAAATTTTAAATATAAAAAGAAAGAAAACAAATCCATCTACTTTTTATTAGAAATATTTTGTAACTCTCAACTAAACCATTCAAATCTTCGTATTAATAAATGAAGTTCTTACAACAACATCCGAGCTAAATATATGTAAGCAAATGAATAACATTTTATTATCTATAATGTATTCTTTCATTCATAAATATTAATATCAATTATTATGTAAAGTTAAACTTTTAATATCTTTTAAGAATACAATACTTTACACTATAATGATGATGTGTATGTGTATATATTTAAGGGCCTCTTATTATTTTTACGCCCTTCTATCCTCATCTGTCATATGTATCAGCAAAATTCTCTTTTCTTCACCTAACTTACCTACATTTGCTCCTACTGGATCCTCCCGTATTATCATCTTCCAAATTCTCATCTTTTGAGTTATTATGGCCGGAAAAATCCTTACGATTTTCTTTTTCAGTAACACTTCGATTTTCTTCTTTGCTACTCTGTATCACCTTTACCTTCGTGATTCTATCTCCTCCGTCTCCTCCTCCTCCGTTGATAACAATTATCTCCGACTTTCTGATCCCCCACCATCACCACTACCACCACCGAAAATCACCACCATTACTATCTCCTCCCCACCCCCACCCCCGAAAATCGCCATTACTATATCCTCAAAAAAAAACCTGATAACCTCGTTATTCATGAAAATATCTATTCACCTATAACTCCATTTCAAATTTCTCCGTTACGTGGTCAAATTTCATCTGTATCGATTCTAATGCCTGAGTGGGAAATTTTCGTTATTGTTTCTCCGGATTATACTCATGTAATTTCTCATCACGATCCTTACATTTGTGTATTCGGAACAGGGGAGATTTCCCCTGCTATTCCTGCAGGGGAGCTCCATTTTCCGGTCCGGTCTATGTTCAAGTGTGAGTTTCCAAAGAGAGCTCGCCGGAGATTGCCGTTTAAACCACCCATATTGATGAAATCAACCGAAAATCGAAATGTTACCATGATATCAACAATGCCCGAGCTGTTAAGGTGGACATTTCTCGTTTACGATTCTCTAACAACAGATGAGGACATTGTTTTGTTTGTTAAAGGGGTGAATAATCGTCAAGGAATTAACAGAGAACCCAATGAATTTAACTGTATTTTCGGTTACGAGGGCAATAAGGTAATTAGAACTAACGTAACGAGTTCAATACAAGAGGTTTTTCGATGTAATCGCCCTGATCCAACTGTTATGGAAGGAGAGGGAGTATCAATCTCTCTCGAAATTTTACTTCTTGTTCCAATGGTTGTACCTTTTGTGGCTTATTACAATGCACCACGAAAACTGACAACTAACAAGAAGTCAAAGAAAGCTCGTCTTTGTGCATGTACCATGGTGTACAATGTTGGTAAATTCTTAAAAGAATGGGTATTGTATCATTTCCAACACTGACTTTGAAACAAAATTAGATGAAGCAAGAACAATAAGCAGAAACAAACGGTACCTAGTAAAAGCATGACTTATCGATAAATTGCTTCCCGGCAGCTGGTTACAGCAATGGATGAAAATGTTACTACCACTTATAATCACAGGTATTTGGAAAAAAAAGAAAAAGGAAACAACTTGGAAGTACCATTAGAAGACTTGTTGAGTCAACTTAGTGTCGGGAGGGGGGGGGGGGGGGGGGACCACAAACTAGGAACATAACAAGACTTGACTATTATATAAAGTTGACTCGGACTTACGCAGGGACGGAGGTAGACTTCAGGATATGTGAAATTATGTATATGCGCGAAGAAATTTATTAAATATGTACAAAAGTTGAATTTAGAAACCTAAACGAGCAGTTGAGTTTGTTATACTAGAATCCATAACCTATAAAGTTCAAATTATTTATGGTTTGACATTCCTTTTAACAGGATATTGATTAATAGCTCATTGATTTTTATTTTATTTTTAAATCTTGACCATGAATATTTACCTTGCATTTTGAAGTATCTTCTTGTAATATTTAAGATACTAACTAATACATTTATATTACTAACCTAAGTGAAGCAATAAAATGTTATGTTGAATTGGTTGAGTAACACATATCATTTACATATTTTTTTCAAGTATCAACCGGTGAAATTATTATTTTTACAATGTATTATAGGTGAAAATTTCTTGAGACGAGGGTCTATCGAAACAACATCTCTACCTTTTGAGATAGGGTAAGGTATACATACGTTCTACCCTCCCCAGACCCCACTTTGTGGGACTACATGTTGTGTTTTATTAGGAAAATATAATTTTAGACTGGTTTTAAGAGTCGCCACTTAATTTTAAGAAAAATCAAGAAAACTGAGTTTTAATAGATTAAAACAGGAAATCAATCGAAAATACTTAAAGAGGGTTCGGGGTTCCTATTAATATTCTAGGAAGGTTTTTAAAGCACCTAAAATATCCGCTAATGCAGTTATCCGACAACTAATTTATTGGCTAAAAATACTTTAACTTAATTTGAATAGAACGATTGAACTATTTTATAGTTGAGACGGTTTTAAAAGGAGAAATGGGAAATATTATAGGGGCATTTACTTAAGTGAAATATACTAAATATTTCGAAGGTCAATTTAAAAATGAGTTTGTTTAATTTCAACTCAAAATGGCTTTCTTTTTGGGGAGTTGAATTAAGAACCTTAAAATTAATTAGCAAATAAGTATGTACTAACTGTAAAATTAACACGAAACATATAGTAAGGAGAGAGGGGAATTTGGGCCCAAGTCTGGTTTTCTGTCCGCCTGAGCCAACACTTGGGCCTAATTTCATCTTGGACCGAAGGGTCCAATTTTTGCCACCTGTCCTAAATTCTAACAAGAGTAATAATAAATAAAATGACGAGGGCTTAGGCCCAAAATAACAAAATACATCTCTTTGGAATTAAAAGTGGGCCTTTGGCCCAATCATTTTAACTTCTTGATCTATTTCGTATTTTTTTCTTTTTTTGACTCCGAGACCTGTACGTCATTTTTTACAGCTGGCCGACTCGAGATGAAATAGAATTGGGCCTCCATGGCCTCTTTCCGGGTACCTGAACTAAGACAACACGAGCAGAGGAGGCAGCGACTTCTTCCACACGAGTTCCGGTTTGAGCCCTCCAAACAAAACCCAGACCAAGAGCTTTTCGAAAATTTAGAAGTAGAGAGTTTTTTCGAGAATCTTTCGACTGTAAAAGCGATTAACCACAAGAAAATCTCTTTGTAAACTATTTCTTTTTGTGTCTTAGTTCCCTCCTATACTTTCTGATATTCTCTCCAATAATTTCTCTAACACCAAATTTTCAACTAAAAAAAAAATCCCCCCCACACCAGTGGAAGAACATGGTATTTATGGTGAAAATCCGGGTTCGAATTGGGGGGAAACTGATAAAAATTTCCATAGGGCCAGGGACCATTTCAAAATTTGAAATCCAAATCCTTTCACCATTTAGGGGATACAACTTTTTCTCCAAAAAAACGTCTCATTCCGGAAGAGGAAAAAGGGGACAAGCGCGTGCTGGCTGCTCACACCGTCTATGCTGATGTACTTCCGTCATTTGGTTGCTGTGGTGTTTAACATTATGAAAGCTGGAATTGTTGTCGTTTACTGGGAATGGTACGTTGTCTCTGGGTTCCTCTTTGGAATAAGGGAAAAGGAGTATTGGAGTGGGCTGGGTCGGGTTGATGTTGTTGTAATATGCTGATGGGGACAATTGAGGTGGGCTGGGAATTGGACTGGGCTGCTGAAACGCTACTGAAAGAGGGCCCAAAATTTGGCATAAATTGATCTAAAAAAACAAAAAAAAGAGGTTTAAGGTGAGGAGAGAAAATTGGTAAGATTTGTAATGGCCACATAAATTGCAATAATGGCCAAGGGAAATTAAGAAGTTAGCCGACTTGAGTTAATTTAGTGAATTCGACTAGAGTTTAAATAGGATGAATTAATATAATTAATTCACGAGTTTCTTGATCTTAACGAGATAAAATAATTAACTTAATTACAAATTAATCGATTTTCATATAAACTAATTAATTAAATTAAAACTACGATTCGAACTAACACTAAATTAATGAAATATTTATTTCAACAAAGCAAAAAATCTTTTGATATGATTTTCAAACATTTATAAAATATACTAATTACGTATACAATTATATAAAACATATATGTTACTTAAAAATTATAAAAATGATTGCATTAATTTAAAAGTAACTTAAAAAATATTTTTGAATTTTTTGTAAAAACTAAATATGTCAAATCGTTTGGAATTTAAGAAACTCGAAAACTAATTATTGTCGGGGAGGGTCAAAATTGGGTGTCAACATGTTGTTGTACAATCTCTTTCCAAGAGGCA